GGTGGGGATGTGGGAGGATTGGGGTGTTTGAAACCCCCCCCACCTAAAAATTGCTAGGGTTGAGGAACACTGGAAGAGACCTTCCAAATTGGATCAAGGGATGGACTTTCAGGTCAAAACAATGGTTGGAACTATAACTGCAGTGAGATGATTGTACGCGCCAAGATGGAAAGATTCGGCCTTACCCACAATGGAGGAATGGCGGGTGAAGAATTTGCTGAAATGGCTAAATCGACTTCCTTGATCAGAGGAAAGACGATATCGAAGTTTATTGCTGCCTGGAAGCCCCTTATGGATTTTTTGTGTAAAACCCCAAAAAACGAACTTACGATTTACGGTCTTGATGACTAGACGGGATTGATTATCGGAAGAAGAGAGTTATGTCGTCACCGTAGAGTAAGAGGTCAATTTATAATTGTACTTATAACTGCTGCAAAGAAGATCGGAAGCGACTTCTTTCTATCTTTTCTATTTTTCTTTTTTCTTTTCCTTTCTTGCCCTGTTAGCTTTCTCCTTGATTTCTTTCTTTTTCTTACTTTATATGAGTTTGTATTCGTTTTTATCTCCCTTTTTAAAAATCGGTCATTAAAACTGTCCGGGAAAAAGAAAAGAAGAGTGGGAGGTTCGCGTGCCTGCAGGCAGACTTATTAGAAATGATCATTCTCGAAGGCTTAGCGTGCCTTTTTTCCCCACGTTTGTCCCCAGACGGCCGGCTACCAGCTCTCGCTGTCCCACAAGCCACGGCGTCGGATTGACGTGGCCTGCATCACGTTCGACCTCTACAAGACCAACCCCCGGGACTTCATCGGCTCCTTGAACATCAAGGCTACTCTCTACGGGACCTACAGCATGTCCTACGACATGCAGTGCTACGGGGCGAAGAGGATCATGAAGTAAGTCTTTGTGGCTCGCCACCCGCCCTCCCGAGCTGAGAAATCGGGGCAATGTCAGGAACTCCGTCCCATCCCCGAAGGGACCAGAGGGCAATGCACAGCTGGTGGGCCCAGAGGTGGATGCCCCTTTGCAAAGCCTTCCAGATGTCGATGGGCGTTGGGTCCAAGAAGCCTGTCCTCACTTGGGGGGGAGAACATGAATTGGCTGAAATGATGTGGCTGGAGGGGCGCGCCGGAGTTTGTCTAAGTTTGGCAAGCACGTTAGGGCTGGACAGGACCTTCCCGGAGCAAGCAAACTTCCCACATCTGGTCAAAAACTGGGCAAACCCGGTGACTATTTTAGAGACTTGAGAGAACTTCCCTGGGTGGAAGCCTGGGTTCAAGATCTCAGGGCAAGCGCACCCCATTGTTGGTGTTGTGGAAACCTTGCCCCACAAAATAATTATTGCTCCCGATGCAGCCCGTCCCTGCTGCAGCTGGGCAGAAACGTTGCCGCGGGACTCCGAAGCATAAAAGCCGGCCGTGGCTTTCGCGATCCTCAGCCAGACAAGAGGCTGCCCGTCGGACTTCCTCTTGAGGGGGCTGTGCAAAGCCAGCCGTTGCGGCCTGCGAACCGGGGCGTTTGTTCAACAAAGGCTGGCGAAGATCCAGCCGCAGTGGAATTTGATACGCCCGTGAGCAAACGATGGATGAATTTCAAAGGGGTATTAATTCCAAAGGAACAGAGGAATGACCAACCCGGGGAGACATCCATATAATGTTTAGACGTAGTGCTTCAATATATTCCTTTTACTCTTCCCTCCCCACCTTGCTTCCTTAGTATCATGTCTTTTTACACTATAAATCTAAAGATGGGCGCTCTTGGCATTGTCTAAACCAGTATTGCTCAACCTTGGCCACTCCAAGAGGTGTGGACTTCAACTCCCAGAATTCCCCAGCCAGCCATGCTGGCTTGGGAATCCTGGGAGTTGAAGTCCACACGTCTTAGAGTGGCCAAGGTTGAGCAACCCTGGTCTAGAAGCTGCAAGGGGACCCTTTCCTGCCAAAGTCCAGAGCCGAAAAGCTTTAAATAATAATAAAGAGACGTATTTCGTGAACTCAGCTCAGGGTTCAAAGAGAACTTTAAACCGACGTAATCCGTACAGATGGGCCTTCTCTCCAACTTCTGCTATCTTTCCCAGGGAAGCTCTCCGCTGGACCCTTTTCACCATGCAAGCCACGGGTCACGTCTTGCTGGGCACCTCCTGTTACATGCAGCAATTGCTGGACGCTCCCGAGGAGCCGAAGGAAGAAACTTTGTCATCGCTGCGCCCCGTTTCTGTCTCTTTCCCCGCCTCTCTCACCCGAAAGATGCTGCGTTGAGTTTGGGGTGTGTATGCGGAGGCGGGGGGATATTTTCAGCTCCGCTGCTGCTATGGACTCTGAACCAGGGACGGTTGGCATCGTACATGTAGGGCACCCCCAAGGACCCCGGGGAACGGGACAGGCACCCCTCTCCACCGGCTGGTTTAGGTGGAGTGAAAAAGCACAACCACGCTCGAGACATTTTGGCACTGTTTTAGGATTCTGGGCACTCGTGGATTCTCAGAAGTTGTAATGTGCGTTTCTTCTTGTCCAGCTCTGCAGCTGGAGGGCAGAATTGGTGCTGAGGAAGAGCAACGTTTCTCCTTTCCCTATGCGTATATATTTATTTATTTTTTCAACCTGTATAGGCAAATGTGCGGCCAGCGTGATGCCACGTCTGCTGCTGACTTGTATCGCACGGTGACACTGTGAATTAAAAAGAAAGGCTTTCTTAAACCGGGATGGGCTCTCCCCTGTTCTCAAACGGGCAAGGTTCAGCAGAGAACAGATCTGCAGTAGCTTTCTGGAATGGAGGAAAATAGAGTTTGTTTGTTTCTTCATTCATTCATTCATTCATTCATTCATTCATTCATTCAAATTTGTATAGTGCCCAATTCTCAACAGCTCTAGGTGGCTGACAACAATCAAAGAAAACAGAAATTACAAATCCAGCACACCCTCCAGAACATGATAACCAGCATTATCATTCCTTTTTTATGCAGGGGGCCTACTGGCAGGGAGGAGGGTGGGGGACAGGAAAGCCAGCCCTCTGATTTCCCTGGAAGATTGGATTAATGGGGTCAGAATGTTAGAACCCCCCCATGGCTTTGGGAGGGCATTAATTCTCACCGCTTGGAAGCTGCTTGCCCCATGGCAGTGGGGGAAGCAGTGAAAGCTGGTCGGTGCAGTCACAGAATTGGAACAGAGCTCTGGGGTCATTTAGTGCAATCCCTCGCATGGTGCAGGATTCACTAGACCGGTGTTTCTCAATCTCGGCATCTTTAAGATGTGTGGACTTCAGCTCCCAGAATTCCCTAACCTATGGTGGACTTCAACTTCCAGAACTCTCAAGCCAGCATAGGTGGACTTCAACTCCCAGAATTCCCCAGCCATCATAGATGGAGTTCAACTTCCAGAATTCTCGAGCCAGCATAGGTGGACTTCAACTCCCAGAATTCCCCAGCCATCATAGATGGAGTTCAACTTCCAGAATTCTCGAGCCAGCATAGGTGGACTTCAACTCCCAGAATTCCCCAGCCATCATAGATGGAGTTCAACTTCCAGAATTCTCGAGCCAGCATAGGTGGACTTCAACTCCCAGAATTCCCCAGCCATCATAGATGGAGTTCAACTTCCAGAATTCTCGAGCCAGCATAGGTGGACTTCAACTCCCAGAATTCCCCAGCCATCATAGATGGAGTTCAACTTCCAGAATTCTCGAGCCAGCATAGGTGGACTTCAACTCCCAGAATTCCCCAGCCATCATAGATGGAGTTCAACTTCCAGAATTCTCGAGCCAGCATAGGTGGACTTCAACTCCCAGAATTCCCCAGCCATCATAGATGGAGTTCAACTTCCAGAATTCTCGAGCCAGCATAGGTGGACTTCAACTCCCAGAATTCCCCAGCCATCATAGATGGAGTTCAACTTCCAGAATTCTCGAGCCAGCATAGGTGGACTTCAACTCCCAGAATTCCCCAGCCATCATAGATGGAGTTCAACTTCCAGAATTCTCGAGCCAGCATAGGTGGACTTCAACTCCCAGAATTCCCCAGCCATCATAGATGGAGTTCAACTTCCAGAATTCTCGAGCCAGCATAGGTGGACTTCAACTCCCAGAATTCCCCAGCCATCATAGATGGAGTTCAACTTCCAGAATTCTTGAGCCATCCTAGGTGGACTTCAACTCCCAGAATTCCCCAGCCATCATAGATGGAGTTCAACTTCCAGAATTCTTGAGCCATCCTAGGTGGACTTCAACTCCCAGAATTCCCCAGCCATCATAGATGGAGTTCAACTTCCAGAATTCTTGAGCCATCCTAGGTGGACTTCAACTCCCAGAATTCCCCAGCCATCATAGATGGAGTTCAACTTCCAGAATTCTTGAGCCATCCTAGGTGGACTTCAACTCCCAGAATTCCCCAGCCATCATAGATGGAGTTCAACTTCCAGAATTCTCAAGCCATCATAGGTGGACTTCAACCCCCAGAATTCTGGGAGTTGAAGTCCACACATCTTAAAGTTGCTGAGATTGAGAAACACTGCACCAGACCATCTCTGATAAATGTCTATTCCAGTTCTGTTTAAAGACTTCCAGAAATGAGAATTCTCAACTTCATGCGAAGTTCCAGTGGTTGACAGCTTGGACAACGAGGAAGCTCTTCCTGACATCTAGACTGAACTTCCTTGTGGTTTGAATCCACCACGGTTGTTCTGGCCCTGCTCTCTCGAGCCAGGGAGAATAAGTCCAGTTCTGCACGAGTATCCCATGAGAGATCTGAAGACTGCAGCCCTATATCCCCAAAGTCATTTTTTTCTTTTTTTATGCATATTTTTTTATTAAAAGAAGATTTTACAAAGATTTTAACAACTACAAAAACACAGAAGAATTGGGAAAAGAGATTATAAAAGGGTAAAAGAAAAAGCGAAGAATAACAAAGCACGGACAGGTATCTGAAGAAGCGACTTCCAATCAAGTTAGTTTAGCCATTTCTGCAAACTCGGTCATCTTCACAGTCCATTCCGCCCTTATGGCTCTTTCTGTGGTCTTCCACCTTTGCGCACGTAACAGCCTCGCTGCAGTTGCCATATATAAAACCGATTATCCGTGAGCCTTTTCTGGCTGAGCATCCGCAAGTCCTAATGAGAAAAGTTCTGGTTTCATCTGAATGTTCACTTTTAAAACTCTCTGCATCACCCTAGATATTTGTGTCTGGTATCTTTTCGCAAGTCCGCCGTGCGTGATAAAATGTCCCTTCGTATTTTTCACATTTCCAGCACTGATTAGAAGGATGTTGATACATCTTAGACAGCTGCTCTGGTGTCGTATACCAACGGTGCATCGCTGCAAGAAAGTTTTCTGTTAAATTGTAAGACAATGTGGATTTCAGGCCTTTTAACCCCATTGTCTCCCATTGAGCCATTCGGATATCATAGCCAACATCCTTGGCCCAGTTTACCCAAGTTCTTTATCGGGCTCTTCCTCCATCACTTTTCCTGTGAGCTAAAGTGAACCCCGGTCCTTCCGTTGCTTCTCAGAGAGCCGGGTTTCCAGATGCCTCCCCATCCTGGCAGCCTCCTTCTGAGCTTGCTCCAATGTTTCACGCTCCTTTTCGAAGGCCTGGAGGAGCCAGGGCAGGAGCAGAGCTGAGCTGGTCAACTCGCCAGGTCGATCCATCTGCTCAGCTTCCCAGGGTCTCCTAAAGCCCCTCCTGTGCACTCCGGACATGGGGCCATGGGGCCCATCCCAGATCAGCTCAGGTCCTGCCTGTCAAAGGCACCCGAGTTGGTTGAGTTAGGGATCCAGCATGCTGGCTGGGGAATTCTGGGAGTTGAAGACCGCATGCCTTAAACAATTCTGGCTTGGGAATTCTGGGAGTTGAAGACCACATGCCTTAAAGCATGCTGGCTGGGGAATTCTGGGAGTTGAAGATCACATGCCTTAAAGCATGCTGGCTGGGGAATTCTGGGAGCTGAAGTCCAGACATCTTAAAGTTGCCAAGGTTGAAAAGCATTGGACTAGATGTTTGGCTGTCAGTAATTTCTTGAGTTTGCAAAAATAAAAAAACCAAAGGGGGGGAGAGGAGGAAATGCTTGTATAAGCCTACAAGAGAAATATGTTAATCTTCTTAAATGAAGCAAGACAGAGAACCATTAACTCATTAAGCAAAAACAGAGGATTTAGCCTGCCATAAAAGTGCTTTTATCACACCCTTCCAGCCAGGGGGAAATGCCAGATACGTCTCCCCAAAGGAGGATAACCCTGGCCCTAGTTGAGCATTCAAATCCCGCTAATCCATCCTATGGCTCATTTTCATACCTTGCACTAAACTAGACCTAAAGTCTATGAATGTTTAGCATGCCCTGTGAACCTAGCCATTTTCAACCAACCCTGGTGTTTCCTTTGTCCAGTGTTTCACAGTTTTAAGATGGGTGGACTTCAACTCCCAGAATTCCCCAGCCAGCATATGTGGAGCCAGCTGCTCCCTTCTGGAATTTTCTTGGAGTCGGCATCTAGCCCACTAGGAAAATTGAGCACTGGCAGCGGGTAGCTCTTCATCAGGTTTGCAAACCATGATATATGCAAGAATGTCTCTGGGCAACTTCCAGATGTTCTGACTTCAACTCCCAGAATTCTCCAGATAGCACATCCATGCAGAGACTGTCTGGGAGTTGAAGTCCACACATTTGGAAGCCCTGATCTATACCCAGGGCCTGTAGACCCTGAACTACAATTCCCAGCATCCCTCACTACTAGCTATAGTGGCTAATGTTCTTGCGAATTGAGTACTGCAGGGCAACGGGATTATCGGGGAACACGATAATATTTCCTTACCATGCTTGCAATCCTCTTTTGCTTGAAACAGCATCAGTTTCAAGGAAGAAGAGCCACAAATCTACATGCATAGCCGTGACACTGGTTTATGGTGCAAACCATGGTTAATTCCAAAGCATTGTAACGTTTTCTGAGCCAAGCACAATTTTTACCTTTTCAATAATGTAGCCAAGGCTACATGCCAAAAGGGTATGAATGAACCCCAGAAGGAAACCTAAGTTGGATTTCATGTACATTTCAACACAATTAACATCAAATCTCATTTATAAGATGCATAAATCTTCCTAAACTCTCTGGGACACATATTTAATTTGTCCCCCTCTTGCCACCTTCAAAGTTACAATCTGAAGATAAATTTTTGACATCGCTGAAAGGCCACCCCCCAATTTTCCGAGGGTAGCGCAGACATCAGATTGTACCTCTGCAGTTTACCGTATCCAAAGACAGGAGAGCCAGAAACTTTAAAAAGCAGCCACCCACACCGTGCAAAAAAATAAAAAGGAAAGGAAACCCACTAAAATCCTCTTCCCAGCAAATCCAGAACTTTTTTGTGTGTGTAATAGACATCTATTTGTAGACCTCTAGCACTCTTGCAATATTAAAAACCTGTGGCCATTATGAGATAGTTGAAGATTCCCAGGGGGGCTAGTAAAGGAACTTAAATGCCCTGAGCCATATGAAAACCAGAAAACTTTAATAAGACAATTTTCATGGCCAAGCTCTGTCCGCCTTGGAGTTCAAGAAGCATCTGCATTTGTTTTAAAAAGGGGGATTAAGAGAAGCTGTTTACGAGCCCAGCGGAAGGCTGTGGCTTCCTGCAAGGGGGAAGACCCATCTCGGCATCCTCTTGTGCAACCTTGTGCAAC